GAAACTGATTATAGACACACAAGCATGGATTCAAGAGCTTTACAAACTCTTAAGTAGGATAAGTGCAAAGAAAATCATTTCTAGCCTCATCGTAATCAAGTTGCCAAAAACCAAAGACAGAGGAAAAAAAGATATATTACCTTCAAATGAGCAAAGGTAAGAGTGATAATTTTTCAGTCACAAAACCATGAAATCCAGAAGACAATGGAATGACATTTTTTACGTGCTGAAAGATTAAACAAAATCTGCCAAGTTGAAATGAAGATGAAATAAAGACAAAAAAAAGTCAGAGAATTTGTCTTTAGCCAATTTTCCCTAATACAAGTAGTACAGGGAGCTTTTTGGTAGAAGATATATCCCACAGTGAAACACAGAAATGTAGTAGGAAGGAATGAAAGGCACAGGAAATGGTGGATATGTGGATAAATATAAAAGAGTAGGAATGGAAGGAGACTTCCTTAATCTTATAAAGGATTTCTATGAAAATCCCGAAGGAGAGGTCACAATTAATGCTGAAATATTGAACAATATCTTCTTCAGTTCAGAAACCACAAAAGGACGTCAGCTATTATCCTTCCTATTCAACATTTTACTGAGGGTCCTAGCCAGCAATAATGTAAGGAAAACTCATATAATGTATAAAGACTGGGAAGGATAATTAAATAAAAATATCATCATTTGTAATTAACACTTTTTGTAGAAGATCCAAAAGAATCTACAGATAAACTAGTAGGATTAATAAGTTAGTTTAACAAGGTCTTAAAATATGTGGTTAATAGATAAAAATAAATTTGATGCTACATATTAGCTACTATTACAAGTAAAGTTAAAAAATACCATTAACCATGGCATAAAAAAATCAAACATCTAGGAATAAATCTAAAAAATGTGCAAGACCTTTACCTTGAAAACAACTAAATATTTTTGATTGTTTGGGTTGGAATATTCAATATTATCAGTTCTCCCCATACAATACCAATCAAATTCCCAGAAGATTTGTGTGTGTGTGAAAATTCACAAACTGATTCCAAATTTTATGAAAATGTGAAGGGCCAAGAATATTTGTAAAAGAAAAATTTAGAGGATTTATGCTACCAGATAGCAAACTTATTATGAAGCTACAGAAATGGACGTGATATGGTTTTTGTATAGGGACAGATAAATCAATAGAATAGAGCAGACAATCCACAAACAGACTTACATATATATGGCCGCCAGTTTTAACAAATATGCCATTTTGATGCAGTGGAGAAAGGATATTCATGCTAATAAATAGTGCTGGGTCAGTTGGCAGTCCATGGGGAAAAGTTGAAACTTGAGCTATAAATGGCAACATACTCAAAAATTCATTCAAGGTGGATCATAGGCCTAAATGTGAAAAGTAAAGTGAAAAAGACTGAGGACTGGTAGGAGGATGGGGTTAATTTTGTTCTTGAGGCTCTTCCAGATTTCAGTCCTTCACATCAGCCCATTTATTGTTATAAATTTGGCTGATTTCTCCTTGTCCGAACAAAATCTCCCCTCTTATGGCAGGCCAGCTAATCTGCCTGTCAGTACTCAGATTATGAAATTGCCCCCAGGGAATGAAAGGGTCTGATATTTGCTCACCTAGGAAGGATTTATCCCTATCAGGAATTTAGATTTCTCTGTCTCGACAGATCTTCAATGGCTTTAAAACTATAATTTTTTAGTTTTCTGGCTGCTTTTAAGATTTTCTTTCTGTCTTGAATTTTCACCACTTGTACTACAGTAGATTTAGGTGTACTTTTCTGTGTATCCTGTTTGCAGTTTTTAGTGCTTCTTGATTCTGTGGTTTGATGTTTTTCATCAGTTTTGAAAAATTCTCACTTATTAGTCTTCAAGTATTTCTTCTTTCTCGTTTTCTCTTTCCTTTTATTCTGCAATTTCAATTACATGGATGTTGGACTTTTTCACCATGTCCCATATACCTCTTTAACTGTTTTCTGTATTTTCAACATTTTTTCTCTTCATACTTTTCTTTGCATATTTTTCTGACTCTTCCTATTCTCTAAAACTGTATTCAACTGTGTCTAATATGCTGTTAAAGCCATCTTTTAATTCTTAATTCCAGTTGCTCTATTTTCAGTTTGGAAATATATGTTTGATTCTTTCTTACATTTTCCCAGAAATCTCCATATTGTCATTTAATTTCATGCTCACCTCAATCATGGTCATTTTTTAAAAAAAAATATTTGTTTATTTATTTAGTGTGTGTGTGTGTGTGTGTGTGCACGCGCACGGAAGGTCAGCCCTGAGCTAACAACCATGCCAATCCTCCTCTTTTTGCTGAAAGAAGACTGGCCCTGACTAACATCCATGCTGATCTTCCTCCACTTTATATGGGATGCCGCCACAGCATGGCCTGACAAGCGGTGTGCCGGTGCGTGCCTGGGATCTGAACCCGGGCCCCCAGCAGTGGAGCGCATGCACTTAACTGCTACGCCACAGGGCCAGCCCCTCATAGTCATTTTAACATCAGTGTCTGGTAACATTAAGAACTGTTAGTGTCTTTCTATTGCTGGTCTTTTGCTCTTGGTGTTTGACTATGTGGTTTGTCACCTGGTGTATTAGTTTGCTAGGGTTGCCATAACAAAATACCACAGACTGGGTGTCTTAAACAACAATTCTTGAGGCTAGAAGTCCAAGATCAAGGTGTTGGCAGATTTGGTTTCTTCTGAGGTCTCTCTCCTTGGCTTGCAGATGGTCACCTTTTTGTTGTGTCCTCATACAGTCTTTCCTCTGTGCGTATGCATCCCCGGTGTCTCTTTGGGTGTGCACATTTCCTCTTCTTATACGAACATTAGTCAAATTGGATTCGGACCCACCCTAAAGGCCTCATTTTAACTTTTTTTTTTTAACGCCCGTTTTCCTTGTCCTTCTTGCCAGCCCTTTTGGCCTTCTCCTTTTTATGCTTATAATTTTTCCCATAAAAGAGGGGACAATCACAAAAGAACCCGGCACAGGAACCCCTGTTAGGTTTTAACTTCTCTTATGGAATGTGAGAGGAAAAGGGAGCAATTAAGTGTACACACTTGATTCTCCCCCAGTATGCTGACAGATCGCACAGAACAAGTCTGCGTTTTCATGATCCTTCTGGGGAGTGTTTTATTTGGCTGCTTTTAACCATCACACAGCACTGTCCCAGAGGGCGACCTGGCCTCATTTTAACATAATAACCCTTTTAAAGGCCCTGTGTCCAAATACAGTCACATTCTGAGGTACTAGCGGTTAGGGCTTCAACATATGAATTTTGTGGGGTACCAGTTCAGGCCATAACACCTGGTATTCCTAGTAATTTTTAATTTAATGCAAACATTGCATATAAAAAATTGTCAAGGGGCTGGCCTGGTGGCGTAGCAGTTGGGTTCGTATGCTCTGCTTCAGCGGCCCGGGGTTTGCAGGTTCGGATCCCAGGCACGGACCTACGCACCACTTATCAAGCCATGCTGTGGTGGCGTCCCATATAAAGTAGAGGAAGATGGGCACATATTAGCCCGGGGCCAATCTTCCTCAGCAAAAAGGAGGAGGATTGGTAACAAATGTTAGCTCAGGGCTAATCTTCCTCAAAAAAAAAAAGAAAAATTGTCAAAATAATTTGAGTTTCTGGGTGACTGGGTTTTTTTTCCCCGCAGAGAGGATTTTCTTTTACTTCTTTCAGTCGTTTAGGTTAGGAGCACTAGCATCCCTAGATTAGGCATTGGATAATCCTAATCCAATAACGATTTGAGATGACTGAAAGACGATCTGTTTCTGGTATATCTGGCCTTTAGATGTAGCCTTTCAGGGCCCTTAGTAAAAGTGTGAGGCACTAATTAATGGCTTCTTTCCTTTCGCACGTCTCAAACTTGTTTTATTTCTCCAAGCCCTTGACATTGTCAAAAGTTCTGTTCAGTTTCTCAGCCTCTAAACCATGGTTTAGATTTTGCAAATGCTTCAAGATGAAAATTAATACCATGGGGCCGGCTTGGTGGCTCAAGCAGTTAAGTGCGCACGCTCGCTGCGGCGGCGCGGGGTTCACGGGTTCGGATCCCGTGTGCACACTGACGCACCGCTTGGCAAGCCATGCTGTGAAGGCGTCCCATATAAAGTAGAGGAAGATGGGCATGGATATTAGCCCAGGGCCAGTCTTCCTCAAGCGAAAAAAAAGCGGAGGATTGGCAGATGTTAGCTCAGGGCCGATCTTCCTCACAAAAAAAGAAAAGAAAAGAAAAGAAAATTAACACCAAATTCTAGACTCATCTCTCTGGACCTCTCTTCTTATCTTGATTTTGGCCCTATAAATTGTCCTTGCCTGGTAGTTCTCTGATGCTTTAAAACTTACTTAAAAAAATAATTCGTCTAGGTTTTCTGTTTTCATTGAAGGAGTTGGTCTGAAATAAGGCAGATATATCACATCCTAATTCAGATGCTTCTCTATAACATTGACTTTGTTGTATGTTTTTTAAATGTATTCTTGTATAAAATATCATAAATAAGTGTTTGAAGCATCATGAATAAGACTGGAAGGATATGTAAAACCACTAGTAAATTTTTCAGTTTTCATCTACCCAAATTCTAAAATAGATAGAAACAGTGTAAGTATATTCATATGATGTAATTAGTGATGTTGTACATCTAGAGGTTGTTAGGTTGAGTGGTCATAAGTAAAAGTGAAAAAGAAAGTTTTTATAAACTTAAGGATAAGTCCTTCTTTAAATATCTGTAATCATTGCATAAGAAGGAGGATAAATTCTAGAAAAGTTTCTTCCTCATACTATTCATTCATTTACTCATTCAAGAAAAAACATTTATTGAGCACCTACTCTGTGTTAAGCACTGTGCTATATGCTGGTGATACAGTGGCAAACAAGACAGATAATTTTCCTTCTTTTATAGAGCTTACATTTTAAAGCTCTTTTAGTAGTAAAATGAGGATATTTCTATTTCAAGCTTTTATACCTTATGTAAACTGACTCTGTATTTTCCTTCTTACGTTTCAGCTACTTTGGCTGTTGCTGTTGGAGGTTTCCTCTATTTTCTCTCCTTCTTTCCATATGTAGTCGTCAACACCGTGTATGAACAGCTGACCCTCATGCAGAAGCTGGCTTCCTGCCTCAGTTCAAATATTGCAGTAGCTTTGGGGATTGATATAATAAGCAAGATGGAAATGAAGAGTGAGTCTCTCCTTTATAAAACTGATTTGATTCCCTGGAAGAAAAAGCAGGTGATCTGAGGTTGGCAATGGAGTGGGTGGGACAGTGGGTGAGGGGTGATTTTAGTGTTGCTTAAATATTTTTCCTGGATTGTAGTGTTTTTTAATCATAAAAATGACATCTGTGTATTATATATGTATATACTGTATATATACACACACATATATACATTGCAAATATATATGCAAATGTTTGTTTATTTCTTTCCATGTCTTTATCTATATAAATGGTCTCATCTGAGGGCCAATTTTGCCACTTGGGGGATCTTGGCCATGCTTTGTTTTTGATTGTCATGACTGGTGGAGGAGTGCTACTGATATCTAGTGGTAGCAGCCAGAGATGCTACTAAATAACCTACAGAGTATAGGACAGTCCCTCCACATTCCCCAGCCCCTGGAAAACCACTATTCTGATTTCTGTCTCTGTGGATTTGCCTCTTCTGGACAATTCACATAAATGGAATCATACAATATATGGCTTTTTATGTGTTGCTTCTTTCACTTATATAATGTTTTTGAAGTTCATCCCTGTCTTAGCATGTATCAGTACTTTATTCATTTTTATGAATGAATAATATTCCATTTTGCTTATCCATTCATCAGTTGATGGACACTTGGGTTGTTTCCACTTTTTAGGTATTCTGAATAATTTTGCTATGAACATTCATGTAAAAATATTTGTTTTCAATTCTCTTGGCTGTATATCTTGGAGTGAAATTACTGAGTCATATGGAAACTATGCTTAACCATTTGAGGAACTACCAGACTGTTTCCACAATACCTGCTCTATTTGACATTTCCATCAGGATTCTAGTTTCTCCAGATCCTCACCAATACTTGTTATTTTCCTTTTATTTTTAAAAAATTATTCTCTTCCTGGTGGGTATGAAGTGGTATCTCATTGGTGGTTTTGGTTTGTATTTCGCTAATGACAATGATATTGAGCATCTTTTCATGTTCTTTTTGGACATTTATACAACTTCTTTAGAGAAATAGCTATTCAAGTTCTTTGCCTATTTTTAAATTGAGTTGTTTCTCATTTGTTGTTAAGTTATAAGAGTTCTTTATATATTCTAGATACAAGCCCTTTGTTAGATATGTGATATTTTCTCCCATTGTGTAGGTTGTGTTTTCACTTTCTTGATAGTGCCCTTTCATGCACAAAGCTTTTTAATTTTGATCACATCCAATTTATCTATTCTTTTGTTACTTGTGTTTTGGTGTCGTATATTTGCCAAATCCAAAGTCATGAAGATTTACCCCCATGTGTTTTCTAAGAGTGTTTAAAAAATAGTTTTAGCTATTATGTTTAGGTTTTCGATCTATTTTAAGTTAATTTTTGTACATGTTGTAAAGTACAATACAATACTCCCTCCCTATAAGGCAGTTCCTGGGAGCCAGACAATTTGGTAATGAGGGAGTTAAGTTAGTGAGTAATTGCTTGCAGTTTAAATAGACAGTAACTTTTTGCTTCCTATTTAGTGTGCTAATAGTTATGTCTAAAAAAACATGCAATTCTTAAAAAGATACCACTTCTGATTTCTTTATTATCTGTTTCCTTTGGAAACTAATCACATGAAACTACAAAATTAGCAAATATCTTGAAATCTGTATATAAAATATAAATTACCTCTAATTTCAAGTTCTTATTATTAGTGTAATACTCAACCTTTTAAAAAAATATATGGCCCTAAAGATAGTCATATACCATTTTCTAAAAAAAGACACTGCTCCTTTTAACTTGACGCCCACCTCCCACCTTGATTTCATAACAGCTCATTTAATTGTCTTGGTCATGGACATTTCCAAGTTGAGGTTTTATATTTCACTCCCATAGCTTTTGGTTATCAGAAAACTCATGCTTTCCTTTATGGAAGGAGTTTGGCCTAATGATGTTGGTATATCCCTTCTAATATTTTTAATCCTCACCTTTGCTTCAGGAGGCATTTCCTCTGGTTCACTGTCTAAAAGCTGCTGCCACTGAAAGAGTTTTTGGAGCAAGAGTTGGAACAGTTTCTTTAGTTTGGGCAAACTTGATCCAAGTTTGCCGAATATGGCTGATGCTTGCTTTCTTTGTTGTCTGACTACCAAATCCAAACATGGAGATCTTTATAGGCTCCAGTGGGAGGTCTGCAGCTTCTTCTTGAGCTGATCACTTCTCAGCACTGCAACTGGCACTTCCCACATTACTCACTCCAGAGGCTCTAGCTAGCTGCTGCTTCTCAGGCTTCTCCTCTCTCACCTTCCCATCCATAATTTTCCCCACCGTGGTCTCCCCTGTAGCCACACCAAGGACTCTAGCCTTTCTTTTTGATCCTTTCTTAGAATTTCCATCTCTCTGCTTACACTTTCCATCTATTCTTGCATGTTGTGTACTTTTTCCATTAAAGCCATTAGCATGTTAATCATAGTTTTTTAAAATTCCTGGTGTGATAATTCTGACATCTTTGCCATGTCAGAGTCTGATTCTGATGCTTGTTCCATCTCTTCAAACTGTGTTCTTTGCTTTTAGTATGCATTGTAATTTTTGTTAAATGTGGACATGGGGTACTGCATAAAAGGAACTGCAGTAAATAGGCTTTTAGTAATGTAGAGGTAAGGTGTAGTGGGGAGGGGAAGCATCTCTAGTCCTACGATTAGGCCTCAGTCTTTTGGTGAGCTTGTGCCCCTGGACTATGACCTTCATCAGTGCTACTCAGTTTTTTCCCCCACTTAGATGGGACAAGATGGCTAGAGGGGGCTGTAATTGGGTATTTCCCTCCCCCAGGTAGGTTAGGCTCTGGTAAAATAGTTTTTCATGAGGGCAGACCTGGTTAAGAACAGAATGCTCTGTCACGTTTCAAAACGGTTCCTTTTTCCTTCCCCTTCCTGGAAGCATGAGGTGATTTTTCTTTGATATTCATTGTGAAGAACTGGCAGGGCTCCTAGAGGTAAAACTCATAAAAGTGTGAGGACTCCCCCACGACTTGATACCCTGGAGTTTTTGACTCTTAGACTTGTCCATAGTGGTCCCCAGCAATTTGCAGGTTACTGTTCATGTTTTCCTACCCTAGTACTGGTTCCCTTGGAGGTTTTTGCTCAGGGTTTCTGTTCCACGAAATTGTGATTCTCTATATCTGCCTATCTATCTCTCCAATTTTGGGGGCAGTGGTTTGCCCTGACCTCACTTCTCTGACGGATCTAAGAAAAGTTGTTGATTTTTCAGTTCACCTTTTTACTTCTTGTTAGGATGGAGTGGTGACTTCTAAGCTCCTTACATGCCAGACCAGAAACTGGGAGCCAAACCTTATTTTTTATACTGATGAATGTATTTCCAAAATTATATATCTTGCTGGTTATTTCAATGGAGATTAGCATAAAAGAGAATGGAGGGATAGGGCCACCATCTCAACCAATGCGTCTGCTTATTGCTTTAAGGCTTATTTTATGGACTTTTGGTAATTGTTCATTTTTGTTTCAGTCACTACTAACTTTTGGTTGGGTTTGGCTGTAGGAAGAGGCACCTTACATCATTGCTTACTTCATTCTTCTCTTGGACAACCTATATTTTAAAGTATCAGCAAATAGCCAATAGACAGTAACTGTCTCCAGAGAATACAAATGCATTTTTTTCTTCATTGTTCAATTATAAAGCAGCTGGGTAACTTTTTTCTAATCACAGTTGTGCACCCAAAGTAACTATCCCCTATTATGTTTCAGGATATGGTGCTAGGTGGAATAACTTCAGGTCACCAGTGAGCCCAGGAGATAACCTCACTTTGGCCCATATTATGGGAATGCTTTTATTTGATGCTTTCTTGTGTGGCCTTTTGGCCTGGTATGTAGATGCTGTCTTTCCAGGGAAGTATGGTGTGCCCAAGCCATGGTATTTCTTTTTGAAGGTAAGTTCTAGTGCTTCTGTTACTGAGACAAACCTCAGTTTTTATGTACTTAGTTTGTCAAAGAGTGAACATCATTACCTTTAACACCTTCCCTATGGTGCTCTGACCTTATGGTACTAATACAGTTTTTATTCCTTCTTAACTAAAGCCTTTATGAGTAACTTTGTAACGTGTATAATAGAATCAAATGGCTTTCTACAAAAAAAACAAATTTCCATCTGAATGAATATGTGATGGAGTCCTTAGATCCTAGTGAGGAGGGGATAAATTGTGTCCCATGTCTGGGCTATCACCATCTGTTTTTTTTCCACTGTTAGCCCAAGTTACTTAGAATCAAAGCCATAGCAAAGTGGGGAGCATCTGTATCTTGGTCACTATTTTCCATCTTCTTCCTTATCATTCTATGGTTTAAAGCACAATTGGTTCCCAAACTCTTTGGTCTCAGAACTCCTTTACACTCTTAAACATTATTGAGCACTCCAAAGAGCTTTCATTAATGTCGGTTATATCTATCAATATTTACCATATATGGAAATTAAAACTGAGAAATTTAAAAAATGTTTATCAACTTATTTAAATATATCACCAATAAACCCATTGCATGTTGAAGTAAATAACATTCTGGTGGAATTAAAAAAATAGAAGAGTGGCATGTTTTACATTTTTTCAAATATCTTTCATATTTGCCTGATAGGAAATAGCTGGATTCTCATTGGAGAGTGTGTATCTGGCTCTGCATTCCATCTTTTGCATTATGTTGTTTTGCTTAAAATGTGTAAAGAAAATACAGCCTCACATAGACAAGTAGTTGATAAAAGGAGGAGTATTTTGGTAGGCTTTTAAACAAATTTGGATGGTCTTCTGTAGTACTTCACCAAAACTCACCTAATGATAATTTGCTAACAATTAGTTGAAGTTTGGAATCTGAAAACATATTAATGACATTTCTTATTCTGTTACGATAATACCCATTGGTGTATCTTGCAAGTGGAATAGATCTTTAACCACACAAATATTTGTAACATCATATTTTGGTTATTTGGAAAATATTGGTTTGCTGATACATACCTTCCAAATGATGACATATTTCCTCATACATTATCAAAGCATCATCTTTATTAATGTTAACATGATGTCATTAGAATAGTTTTTTTGTGTGTGTGTGTGTGTGAGGAAGATCAACCCTGAGCTAACATCTGCCAATCCTCCTCTTTTTTTTTGCTTGAGGAAGACTGGCCCTGGGCTAATATCCATGCCCATCTTCCTCCACTTTATATGGGACGCCGCCACAGCATGGTTTGACAAGCGGTGTGTCAGTGCGCGCCTGGGATCCGAACCGGCGAACCCCAGGCTGCCGCAGCGGAGCATGCACACTTAACCGCTTGCACCACCGGCCGGTCCCTAGAATAGTTTTGAAGAATTGGAAATCTGTCACACAACAGTGGATACAAGTTTTTCAAAATTCTAATTTTCACTCGAAAGCTCAAATTTTATCCTTGGAAACAAATTCTGTCAGTTCTTTTCCTTGAAATGACAACATCACTTTATTAATTTTCAAGAAAATGTCTAGTAGATATCCAAGTCTGTGTAACCATAGTTTTTATGTCTGTCATTCTTTCAGGTAAAAATGCTATTCCATGAAAAAAGTGGCTAGTTCACCTCACAACTCAAAGAATGACACAATTTTTCTCAGGGCTCCCATTATATTTTCATCTGCTATAGAAATGCTTTCTGTGTATTTCCCACTTCATCACATGGAATATTTTAAAAACTATATTCAAGGAATGAGACTTAATAAATTATTTTTACTCCCTCATCAAAGATACAGTTGACATACTGTGTCTACTGGTGAAGAAGATAATGACTGCTTAGTCCAGTTTTATGCTACTGCTTTGATTTGTGTTAAGGCACCAGCAGTTTTACCCAACTCTCAATGAAAATATCAACACAATAAAAAGACAACTCATGTATTTTAAAAAGTATTTTTATAAAAATAATTTTGAACTCACAGACTTAGTGAAAGGGTCTTAGGAATCTCCAGGGATCTGTAGACAACACGTGCAAATAAAGAGTCCTCTCAGAGTGATAGAATGCTTTTCTGAGTCATTTTAAAGTGGTTTTGTTTTGTCTTTCTTCTTGCACAGTGACATTTTAAATAGCATGGAGTTATTCTCTAGGAATTCAAATTATAGCCATTTTGCTTCCAAATTTCATTTCAAGTTATCTGCTGCAACCCATCTCAAAACCAAAGTGAAATGAGCCAAAGTGTTTTCAAGTCTTAAGAGCATTTAATTTTTCAGTGACATCACGATGATTATTTTTTTGTTTTTTTCTTAGAAATCCTACTGGCTTGGGAAAGCTGTAAGCATTAAGAGGAAAGAAGAGAGTGAAGTTACTGATATAGTTCAAAGTCGCTATTTTGAAGATGAACCTGTTCATTTGGTGGCTGGTATCAGGATCCAACATTTGTACAAGGTGTTGTTTTAGAGGTCTCTTTTTCTTGATGCAACTGAAAGTTAATTTACTAGGCATAGTAAATGTTTCTCACTGGCCATAACCCTACCCCTGTAAGATGTTAATGAAAGGTTGTAATCAGCATGTTTATTATTTGACAAGATAAAAATGAAATGTATGAAAATAAAATGAAAATCCATGTGTTTCATCCCTCCTTTCTTCAGAATAGAATCCAGCGTTGTATAGATGATAATGATGTCTTCTACAATACTCCCATTGTAAGAGCTAACATCTAGTTGAAACTGATGATTTTATATGTGAATATTAATTTCTGTTCACAATTGTAGTTTTACTTGTTCTATCAGTTATGCATTAAGCTGTTTGACTGAATGCTCCTCTAAGTGTTTGGCAAGAAGGTGTTCTTGGATATATCAGTTTATTTGGATCAACTGTAGGCATTTGTCATTCACGTAACCCATATGTCTGCTGGCATTCTCTTGCCCCTCAAGGAGATACTTCAGCTTAACTTGAACCTCTAATCTCACAACTTGTGGAAACTCAAATCTCTCTTCACAATTTCTGCTAATTATTTGTGTGTGTTGGGAAGTGGGGAAGTTGGGAAGTTTACGTTCTTGTGGTTTTCTCTGCCTCCAGCATATTACATTCTGATTCTGTTTTGATCACATCAATCCAGATGCAGAACTCAGCCTTTTCACTAGTTTTCTCAGAAAATCTATTCACATCAACAATTATCTGAGCATTTTAACCCTTAATGTAGTTTGGCGCTGATGGGGTTATAGGAAGGAACACATGAGCTATGGCCATTTCCCCGGCTTTACTCACCCATGTCTTTTCTAATCTCTCTGTTTTTGCTTTTTCTCCAAGATTGTCCCTGAGATCTTCCTCTAATGTGTAGAGCAGTTCACCGCTTCCCGGATCTTTTCCCCATACTTACATATGCAGATGCATGAGTGCTTATCACCAAGGACCTTCCATGTATCATTTATTTATTTATTCATTCAAGAAGTCTAACAGCTAGTTTCTTAGCATCTATTATGTTCCAGAAACTGATTGGTATTGGGGATATAGTTGTGTACTAGGCATATAAAATCTCTGTTTTAAAGAAGATGTAAGCCAATGTTAGGGGTACTTCTGCTTCCAAGTAAGATGGAGAAGGTCTTGGCAGCCCAACACTCAAACAGCAAAACGTAGAAGAAGTCGGATAAATTATAGTTATCGGACAGCTGGAGAAGCAATGAAGACTGGATTATTTTCAATTCCCAAGGATAAACAACCCTTCTAAACTGAACTTAGAAATACTGGCCATTTTCTTAATTGTAGACATTTGCTGATTCTAACCATGGACTAAGGATCAGGCCTCCATACAAGAACTCTACTGGGGAAAGAGAGACACTTGAGTCTCTTGGTGGTCATAGTTGGCTGGCAAGACATTTTGGAAGCTTGAGGGGATCCAAATGTGTGGCCAGTTTTCCCTATGGGATATTTACTGATTTATAAAGCTACATCTTGGATGCTGGGAAACTAGGCCAAGGATTCTAAAAGGCAACATGAAATCTATGAATCTGTGAAGCACAGAAGACAAAGTCACACTAGAGAGAGAGCACACAATTACCTCTGCCTCCAACATCTGCTATATTTGGAGTTGTAATGAGCAGGAGGCTAAAGAGCTATGTCCCAAACTCCAAAGGACAGAACAGAATCTCCCTTAATCTTTCTGAACTGAAGATATATAGACCTACAGAATATTCCATGAGAAGCTTAAGAGGACCATGCTTAAGGAACAAGAATGAACTGTGAAGGACTGAGTCTTTCTCAGCTTGCAATCTATCTTTCACCCTGCTGAATCCCAGATTAGATGGCAGTGATGACCTCTTTCCCTTATCTAGTTAGTCAAGGAAAGGGGTTACTCTTTGGTGGAATTCTTTAGTCCATTTTAAGTAGACTTTTATATATGGTATGAGATAAGAGTCCAATTTCATTCTTTGCATGTCAATATCCAGTTACCACTATACCATTTATTGAAGAGACAATTCTTCCCCCATTGTGTATTCTTGGCATCCTTGTTAAAAACTAGTTGAATGTATATACATGGGTTTATTTCTCAGGTCTGTATTCTGTTCCATTGGTATGTGTGTCTGTTTTTATGCCAATACCACATGGTTTTGATTACTGTATCTTTGTAATATAATTTGAAATCAGGAAGTGTTATGCCTCCAACTCTGTTCTTCTGTCTTAAGATTGCTTTGGCTACTCAGATTCTTTTGTGGTTCCATATGAATTTTAGAATTCATCTGTAAGCCATCTGGATCTGGGCTTTTCTTTCTTGGGAAGTTTTTGATTACTGATTCAATCTCCTTATTCATTATTGATGTGTTCAGGCTTTCTGTTCTTGATTCAGTCTTGGTGGGTTGTCTGTTTCTAGATATTTATCCATTTCTTCTAGGTTATACAGTTTATTCTCGTATAATTGTTCATAATAGTCCCTTATGATCTTTTTTAGTTCTGAGGCATCTGTTGTAATGTCTCCTCTTTCATTACTGATTTTATTTATCTGGCTATTCTCTTTTTTTCTTACTTAGTCTAGCTAAGTATTTACCAATTTATTTTTTACAAAAAAAACATCTTTTAGTTTTGTTGATTTTTTCCTATTTTTTATTTGATTTATTTCTGCTCTGATCTTCCTTTCTTCTGCTAACTTTGGGTTTAGTTTGTTCTTCTTTTTCTAGTTCCTTGAAATATAAAGTTAGACTGTTTGAGATCTTCTTTTTTAATGTAGCCATTTATTGCTATAAACTTTCCTCTTAGAACTGCTTTTGCTGTGTACCATAAATTTTGGTAAATTGTGTTTTCATTTTCGTTTGTCTTGAGATATTTTTTTAATTCCCTTTTGATTTCCACTTTGACCTAGTGGTTGTTCAAGAGTATGTTGTCTAGTTTCCAGATATTTGTTAATTTTCCCATTTTCTTGCTGTTATTGATTTCTAGTTTCATTTTATTGTGGTGGGAAAAAGTATTTGGAATGATTTCAAACTTCTTAAATTTGTTAAGACTTGTTTTACAACCTAGCATGTGATCTCTCCTGGAGAATGTTTCATGTGCACTTGAGAAGAATGTGTATTCTTCTGCTGTTGGGTAAAAATTTCAGTATATATCTGTTTGGTCCATTTGGTCTATAGTGTTGTACAAGACTGCTGTTTCCTTATTGATTTTCTGTCTGATCTATCCATTATTGAAAGTAGGCTATTGACATCTTTTACTATTATTAATGTATTGCTATTTCTCTCTTAAAATATGTCAATATTTGTTTTATGTATTTAGGTTGTTTGATGTTGGGTACATATATATTTATAATTGTAATGTCTTCTGGTTGAATTGACCCCTCAGCATTATATAATCACCATTGTTTCTTGTGACTGTTTTTGACTTAAAGTCTATTTTGTCTGATATAAGTATAGCCACCTCTTCTTTCTTTTGGTTACCATTTGCATGCTATACATTTTTTCATCCTTTCACTTTCAGCTTATGTGTGTCCCTAAATATCTGTGAGTCTCTTGTAGACAGCATCTAGTTGGGTCTTGTGTTTTTTTTTTTTAATCCATTTAGCTATTCTAAGTCTTCTGGTTGGTGAATTTACATTTAAAGTAATTATTAACAAGTAAGGTCTTATATATTGCCATTTTGTTAATTGTTTTCTGTCTGTTTTGTAGTTCTCTTGTCCTCCCTTCTTCTCTTACTGTCTGTCTTTGTGGTTTGATGATTTTTTGTTGTGATATGCTTGATTCTTTTCTCTTTTCTTTTGTGTATCTACTATAAGTTTTTCTTTGTGGTTACCATGTGACTGCGTTGAACCTTATAGTTATAGCAGTCTATTTTAAGCTAATAATAACTTAACCTCAGTTGCATCCAACAATTCTATACTTTTACTCCCTCCCCACACTTTATGTTATTAATGTGTTTACTTCTTTCTGTATTGTGTATCCATTAATAATTTTTTCCAGTACTCCTAAAATTTTTGTGTTTTATCTTTTATATTATGGTTAAAAGTGATTATGTACCACCACAACAGTATTATCATATTGTATTTGTCACCTTTACCAGTGAGATTTGTACTTTCATATTCTTTTGTGTTGCTGTTTAGCAGTGATTCATTTCAACTTGAAGAATTCCATTTATCACCTAGTATAAGGCAGGTCTAGTGGTGACGAACTCCCTTAGCTTTTGTTTAACAGGGGAAGTCTTTACCTCTCCTTTATTTTTGAAGGACAGTTTTACTAGGTATAGTATTCTTGGTTTGCAGTTTTTTTCTTGAGTACTTTGAATATATCATCCCACTGTCTCCTGGCCTGCAGGATTTCTGATAAGAAATCCACTGATAGTTTTATGGGGGTTCCTTTTTATATGATGGGTCAGTTTTCTCTTGGTGCTTTGAAAATTCTCTCTTTGTCTTTGACTTTTGACAATGTAATTATAATGTGTTTCTGTGTAGACATTTTGGGTCGACCTATTTGGAAATTTTTAAGCTTTGTGAATCTGGATGTTCATTTCCATCTCCAGATTTGGGAAGTTTTCAGCCATTAATTCTTTAAATAAGCTTTCTGACGCTTTCTCTGTCTCTTCTACTTCTATAACTCTCTTAATGCATATATTGTTTCTTTTCATGGTGTCTTATAAATCCCATAGTCTTTCTTCATTCTTTTTTATGCATTTTTCTTTTTGCTATTCTGAGTGGATAATTTCAAATGACCTGTCTTTGAGTTCACTAATTCCTTCTTTTGCTTGAGTCTGCTCTTGAAGTTCTCTATTGAGTTTTTTCAGTTTAGTCATTGTATTCTTCAGCTATAGAATTTCTGTTTGTGTTTTCACGGTTTTTCTTTCTTTGTTAAACTTCTCATTTGTTCATGTATTATTTTCCTAATTTTGTTTAGTTGTCTATCTGTGTTCTCTTGTAGTTCACTGAGATTCTTTAATATGATTATTTTGAATTCTTTGTCAGGCAATTCATAGGTCTCCTGTTCTTTAGGGTTGGTTATTGGAGCTTTGTTAGTTTCCTTTGGTGATGTCATGTTTCCCTGATTCTTCATGATCCTTGTAACCTTGCATTGGTATCTGCACACTTAAGAAGCAGTTACCCCTTCTGTTCTTTATAGGCTGCCGTTGGCAGAGAAAGACCTTTACCAATCAGCTAGGCCTGGGATTCTGAGTGGGCCAGCTCATATGGGGTGTACTGTTGGGGCTCATGGAGTGTACCATTGGATAACTGCAGGGTCTATGGTCAGGCAGGGCCCATTACTGGTGCTCTGCATTCAGATGGGGCTGGCTCACAGGGCTCTGCAGTCTAGTGGGGCTGGCTGGTGGGGCTTTCTGGTCATGGAGGGCTGGCTGGCTGACCTCTGCATTCCGACAAGGTCTCTGGTGGGCTTTGTTGTTGGACAAGGTTAGCTGGTGGGGCTCTGTTTTGGGGAGGAGCCTGGAGGGGTGGCTCTGTGGCTAGGCAGGGCTGTTTGGCGGGAGGTACAGGGCTACTGCTGAGGTCCATTAATGCTGCCGCCTGAGAGCCCTCACCCCTTTTCTTTGTTCCTAGCTCTTTCCTGGTGGTCTAGCTGTGTCAGTTCCTCTGGCATTCCATGTGAGCCAAGACAGAAGTGGGCCCCTCAGTCAGTACCACAGAAATCTGGGGAAGCTAGATGTCTACCTCTTTCTCTCTTTCTGCCACTGGAGTAATTACGGGCTGAAGGGATCCTTCTTGATGCTATGCTTTGTTGCCTTAGGAGAGAGGCACTGTGAACAAAGTGATATTGCTCCTCTTACCCTTTTTAATGAAATTTCTTTCAGTTCTTGTGCTCCACCATGGTGGTGTAACCTCACCCCTGGGCCCCAGGAATCTCACAGTATCATTCTTGTCCATGGGTAGTTGCTGAATCCATGTTTCTGTGAGGGGACTAGAGCTGAGGACCTCCTGTTTTACCATCTTGCTAATGTCACTGTGATGTAATGCCCCTCCTTATCCCTGATAATTTTGCTTGTCTGAAGTCTGATTTTTCTGAAATTAATATAGCTACTCCAGCTTTCTTTTGATTAGTGCAGCATGATATATCTTTGTCCATCCCTTTACTTTTAATCTATCTGTATCTTTGTATTTAAAAGTGGATTTCTTGTAGGCAATATAGTTTCATCATTTTTAAAATCCACTTGGTCAATCTCTTTTAATTGGTGTATTTAGACCATTATCGTGTAAAGTGATTATTAATATAGTTGAATAAACATCTACAATATTTGTAACTGTTTTATATTTGTTGCACTTGTTCTTTGTTGCTTGTTTTACTCTTCCCTCCTTTTCTGCATGTCTATGGCTTCTAAAGAGAAGTCTAGTGTAATTTTATTCTTATTCCTCTATAGGTAAAGTTTTCCCCTGCCCCCTGGCTTCTGTCAAGATCTTTTTATTTTTTAAGATCTTTGTTATTTGGTTTTCAGCAGTTTAAATATGATATGCCTAGGTCTAGATTTTTTGGTATTTATCCTGCTTAGTGTTCTTTGAACTTGCTAGATCTATGGTTTGGTGTTTATCATTAATTTGGAAAATTCTCAGTCATTATTGCTTCAAATATATTTTATGCTATTTTCTCTCTCTCTTTTCCTTCTGGCATGCCCATTACATGTGTGCTACACCTTTTGTAATTGTCCCACAGTTCTTGGATAGTCTGTTCTAGTTATTTTCATTCATTTTTCTTTTTATTTCAGTTTGAGATGTTTCTATTGGTATATTTTCAAGCTCACTGATTCTTTCCTCAGCCATGTCTAATCCACTGATGAACTCATCAAAGGCATCCTTCATTTCTGTCACAATGTTTTTGCTTTCTAATCTTTCCTTTGAATTCTTTGTTAGAGTTTCCATCTCTCTGCTTACATTACACATTTGTTTTTCATGTTGTCTAATAGAGACTTTAGCATATTAATCATAGTTACTTTATATCTTCAGTCTGATAATTTCAAAATCTCTGCCGTATCTGTATCTGACTCTGTTCTTTGCTTTGTCCTTTCAGACTGTGTTTTTCCTTGCCTTTTAGCATGCTTTGTAATATTTTGCTAAAATCCAGACATCACGTATTGGTTAATGGGAACTGATGAAATTAATACTTAAGTGTGAGGTTTTATTTTTGCCTGGGTAGGAATTAGGCTCTGTTTACTGTTTGCTGTAGCTATAGGTCAGAGGCTTTGATTTCCTCTAGCATCCTTGTTTTTTCTTGCCCGCTGTTATTTTTGGGTTTCCCTAGAGACTTTTTTTTTTTTTTTTTTGTGAGGAAGACCAGCCCTGAGCTAACATCTGATGCCAATCCTCCTCTTTTTTGCTGAGGAAGCCTGGCCCTGGGCTACCATCTGTGCCCATCTTCTTCCACTTTATATGGGACACCGCTACAGCATGGCTTAACAAGCGGTGTGTCGGTGCGCCCCTGGGATCCGAACCAGTGAACCCTGGGCCGCCGCAGCAGAGCGCGCGCACTTAACCGCTTGCACCACTGGGCTGGCCCCTGAGACTTATTCTTAAATATGGTCTGAGCCTTGTGGTCCTTTCTGTTGTAATCCCATTATTATACATGAGCCTTATTGACGTGATGGAAAGGTATAATGGGAGAACAAGTATTCTATAATCCTATGACTAGGTCTCAGTCTTTTAGTAGGCCTGTGCCCCTGGGCTGTGACCTTCACAAGTGCTTCCCAGCTCTCCCTCACCTCCTTATTGAGACAAAAATGCTAGGGGGATGGAGTTGGGTATTTCCCTTCGCCCATGTCTGTTAGGCTCTGATAAAGGAGTTTCCCTTGAGGACAGGCCTTTGTTACTGAGAACAGAACACTTGGATATTTTGAAAAATTGTTTATTTTACCCTGAGGTATTTCAGAATGGTTACTCCCTCACCCTTCCTTTCTGGAAGCACAGGGTATTTTTCTCTAATCTTCACCATTAGAACCTGGTGGGGCTCCTGGAGGTTAAGTTCATGAAAGCATACACACTTCCTAAAACTTGGACCCTAGGCGTTTTTAACTCTCAAGCTAGCTCATACTCAGCCTATAGAAACTTGTCAATTACCATTTAAATGCTCTTACCAATTACTGGCTCCAGTGGTTTCTGCTCCCAGTAAGCTGTAATTCTCTGTATTTGCTTGCATCTCCAGTTTTTGAGGTGTACCCAGTGACCTCAACTCTCTAATGGATCTAAGAGCTATTGCTTTCCAGTTTGTTCAGCTTTTTTGTCATAGTGAGAATGAGAGTGATAACTTCCAAGATCTTTACATGTTGGAGGAGACTATATTTTTATTAGTTCCTTGAGCATGCTAAATTTCAGTTTGTAGCTTAAAAAATATATGACTTCAAATAGCCTTACTTGACCATCTTATATAAAGTAGCACTATCTACTAATGTTTATTGCAATAGGTAATCATTTAAAAGTTTTTGCTTTTTGTGCGTTTCTTCTACTAGAATTTTTCTCTCATGAGAGCAGGAGCCATGTCAGTCTTTTTCATAAATGTATTCACAGTACCTTACATACCATATGCCACATAGTAGGCACTCAATAAACATTTTTTGAATAAATGAATTGATTAGCAGTGATTGGTGACTAATGAGTTTTAGTAGATGAGGCAGAGGGAGATGTCTAAGGTAAGTCTCAAGTTTCTGGCTTGTACATCTAGGTGGATAATGGTGCAACTCACTCAGATGAGGAATATAGCAGGAGGAGTACATTTTCAGATGTGGCAATGAGTAGAGTTTGAAGTGCCTATAGGACAACCAAGTGTAATGGGTTTCCACCATAAAGTTCTGGAACTTAGGAGAAAGACATTGACTAGAGCAGATTGTGGCATTATCAGCTTTAAACAGTAACTGGAACAAAGCGGGACTGGATGAGATTGTTCAGAAGGAGTTTTGTAGACCTACTTTGAAGGTCTATCCATATATTGCTTTCAAATATTGTTTCTTTTTCACAATTCTATCTCTTTTATGCTTTGATTTTTCCTCCTTTTTGAGATTAATGGTCTGTTTTTTCTTCCTCTTTGGATAATTAATATCAATGCCCGTCCTTTATAAGTAATCGTAATAGATATGAAGTTAGTACTTGTTTTTTTCTTTTCACAGAAATTCACATTACAGAATACTACCGTAATGGCAGTACGAGACTTGTCTTTGAATATGTATGAGGGGCAAATCACTGTTCTTCTAGGACATAATGGGGCGGGAAAGACTACCACCTTATCTATTCTCACAGGTATGTATTCAGGGTCGCCCCGAACAAAGATGCTGTGGATCAAGCTCTGAAGCTTTTGTGTACCCTCTTGACATTGGCACCATTGTCATTTAAGTGATACGTACAGTTGTTGATTAATCCACTCTCTTTTAAAGTGCAAATCATTTATTATAAAGCTTAAAAATCAGTATTTATTTTTGTATCTCAGGTGCATCAAACTTCTCACTTTATAGTGCACCGTCCTCATTGGTTAATGCAAAAACCCTCTTTTTAAAAAATTTTCATTTCTTTATTTCCTTTTATCTTAGTTTTCCTTCTATTCCTCTGTCCTTTCATAAGAAACCCTCTTCTAATTTGTTTGATGTACATTGTTTTCACTTTAAAAAGTGTATTACATATTCTTATGAATTTATTTTTATATTTATTAAGAAATTTTCAAACATACATGCAGGTTGAAAGATTTTTAGTGACCACCCTTACAACCACTGCCTAGATTTTACCATTTTATCATTTTACTATACTTGTCACATATCTATTGATCTCATTTTTAGGCATCTCTAAGTTATAATATTCGACATTAATATGCTTCCTACTAAATAATTTAGTATGCATATCATTAACTAGAATTTTTTCTTTTGCTGTAAAATTTTATTATGATGAAATGCTTAAATTTTAAGTGCTCATTTGCTGAATTTTGACATATGCATACATCTGTGTGATTCAATTGCCTGTTAAGATAGAGAACTTCAATATCATCCCAGAAAATTCTCTCATTACTCAAGTGATCCACTTGTAATTCATAGCAACCAATATATTTAAGATAAAGCAATAACTTCATTCATATCATCAATGTATATTAATATGCCAGGTATTTAGATGGAAACTGAGAATGCAGTGGTAAGCACAAAGTCCTTTCCTTCAGGGATCTTACAGGTGGGTGAAGATAACTTATGAGTAAATAGGAACTTTACTCCAAAGATATATCCATGTTTTGATCCTTGGAACTTGTGAATGTTACCTTATATGGCAAAGACTTTGCAGACTTTTAACTTAACTGATTAAATTAAAAATTATGAGATGATCTTGGGTTTTCTGGGTGGGCCCTAAGTGCAATCACTAGTGTCCTTATAAGTGAAAGGCAGAGGGAGATTATAGACAAGCAGACGAGGAGAGGACACACAGAAGAGAGAAGGCAATGTGGCAATGGACACAGATAACTGGAGTGATGCTGCTACAAGGTAAGGAGTATCAGCAGCCACCACAACCTGGAAGAGGCAGGGAATGGATTTTCCCCTGCGAGCCTCTATTGGGAGTGTGGCCCTGCTGACACCTTGATTTCAGCTCAGTGATACTGATTCAGACTTCTGGTCTGTGGAACTGTGATAAAATAAATTTCTGTTGTTTTAAGCCACTAAGTTTGTGGTAATTTGCTACAGCAGCTGTTGGAAACCAATATGCTTATTATCTCAGAACATACATTATGCACTTCCTTATGTGAATGTGCTCATGCCTTTTCCTTCACTGGGAATGCCTGAACCACCACTTGACTTTTTGAAATATCCTATTCATCTATGGAGACCCAACTCAAAGCAACTTCCTGATCCCCTCAACTAGAATTAATCATTCTTACCTCTGTTTGGTAACCGCTATGTCCCGAGTGATTAGAAGAGTTCCTCACATAGTAAGTGCTCAATAAACACTTGTGGAATACTTAATTCTATTGTGTATTATAGTTGTTGAGTCACCTGTATCCTCCATTAGATTTAAGTTGTTTGAGACAAGGGTCATGTCTTGTTAATTTTTTAAATGGTAATTTTTTTATTGAGGTAAAATTCATACAACATAGAATTCACCATTTTGAAGTGTCCAGTTAAATGGTATTTGGTACATTCACAATATTGTGCAAGTATTACCTCTATCTAGTTCCAGAATAGTTTCGTTCCCCCAAAAAAGGAAACCTTGCACCTCTTAGCCATCACTCCCTCAATTTCCCCTCCTTCCAGTCCCTGGCAACTACTAATCTGATTTCACTCTGTATAGATTTGACTAATCTGGATATTTCATATAAATAGAATCATACAATATATGACCTTTTATGTCTGGCTTCTTTCACTTAGCATAAAGTTTTCTGGTTTCACCAATGATGTAGCATGTATCATTCCTTTTTATGGATGATTAATATTCTACTGTATGCATTTACCACATTCTGTTTATTCATTCATCAATTGATGGACATTTTGGTTGCTTTGCCTTTTGGCTATTGTGCTGCTGTGATTACTCATGTACAAGCTTTTGTCTGAACACCTGTTTTTAATTCTTTTGGGTATATACCGAGGAGTGTAATGGCTGGGTCATATGGTGATTCTATGTTCAGTGTTTTAAGAACTGCCAAACTGTTTTCCATGGTGAATACGCCATTTTACATTCCTATCAGCCATGTACGAGGATTCCAATTTCTCCACATCCTCACCAACATTTCTTATTATCCTTTATTTTTTTAATTCTAGCCGTCGTATAAGAGTTAGAAGTGGTTTCTCATTGTGGCTTTGATATGAATATTCTTAGTAACTAATTATTTGAGTATCTTTGCATGTGCTCGTTGGCCATTTATAGATCTTATTAGGGGAAATGTCTATTCAAGTCCTTTGTCCGTTTTTTAATTGCGATGTTTGTCTTTTTGTTGTTCAGTTACAAGACTTAGTTATATATTCTGGATTCTAGACTCTTATCACATATGATTTACAATTTTTTTCTCCCATTCTGTGGACTGCCTTTTCACTCTCTTGAAAGTGCTCTTTGATGCACAAAGTTTTTATAAATTCCAATTTATCTATTTTTTGTTGTTGTTTGTGCTTTTGGTATCATATCTAAGAATCTGTTGCAAAATCCTTTGTTACAAAGGTTTATCACTATATATTCTTCTAAGAGTTTTATAGTGTTAGATCTTACCGTTTTGGTCTGTGATCCATTTTGAGTTAATTTTTATATGTAGTGTGAGGTAGAGGTCTAGCTCTATTCTTCTGCATGTGAATATCCAGTTTTCCAAGCACCATTTGTTGAAGAGACTATCCTTTCCCCATTGAAGTCTTGGCACCCTTGTTAAAAATCAATTGACCGTAGATGTATGGGTTTATTTCTGGACTCTCAGTTCCATTCCATTTATATATATTTAGCCAATATCACACTGTTTTCATTACTGTAATTTTGTAGTAAGTTTTGAAACTGGAAAATGTGAGTCCTCCAACTTTGTATTTCTTTTTCGAGGTTGCTTTGGCTATTTCAGGTCCCTTGCAATTTCATATGAATTTGAGGATCAGCTTTCTGCAAGATTTCTGCAAGAAGGTCTTTGGGTTATTTCTAGAGATTATATTGTTTGTAGACTGTTTTGGGGAGTAGTGCCATCTTAACAATATTAAGTTTTCTAATCCATGAACATGAGATATATGTCCATTTATTTAGATCTTCTTTAATTTCTTTCAGCAATGGTTTTTAATTTTCAGTTTTTCAAGTCTTGAACCTCCTTGGTTAAATATATTTCTACTTTATTTTTTCTTTCTGATACTCTTGTCAATGGAATTATTTTATTAATTTGTTTTTCAAATTGCTAATTGCTAGTGTGTAGAAATGCAACTGATTTTTGTGTGTCTAATTTGTATTCTGCAACTTTGCTGAATTTCTTTATTACTTCTATTAGGTTTTTTTTTGCAGATTCTCTAGAATTTTTTTGTATATAAGATCATATCATCTGTGAAGAGAGATACTTTTACCTCTTGCTTTTCAGTTTGGATGTGTTTTCTTTTTGTCGCCTCATTGCTCTGGCTAGAACTTTCAGTACAAAGTTGGAATAGCAATGGTGAAAGCAGGCAACCTTGTCTTGTTTCTGATCTTGGGGAAAGCTTTGACTTTCACCACTGAGTTAATGTCAACTTTAGTTTTTTCATAAGTGCTGTTTTTCATGTTGTTCCAGGTATGCTGAATGTTTTTACAATGAAAGAATGTTGAATTTCGTCAAATGTTTTTTCTGCATCAATTGAGATGACCATGTGGGGTTTTTTCCTTTCTCCTATAAATGAGATGTATTATATTGATTTATTTTCATATGTTCAATCACTTTGCTTTGCATCCTGGGATAAATTCCACTTGATCATGATGTATAATCTTGTTAATATTCTGTTGAATTCGGTTTGCTATTATTTTGTTGAGGATTTTTGCATATATATTCATAAGGAATACTGGTCTATAGCTTTCTTTCCTTTTAATGTCTTTATATGACTTTTCTATCAAAGTAATGCTGGTTTCATATAATCAGTAAAGGAATTGTTCTCTTCTTTTAAATTTTTTGGAGAGAAGTATTGACTCCTCTTTAAATGTTTGGGGGAATTAATCAGTGAAGCCATCTAGTTCTGGGCTTTTCTATTTTGGGACGTTTTTGATTACTGATTCAATCTCTTTACTTGTTATAGGTCTCTTCAGATTTTCTATTTTTTCTTGAGTCAGTTTTGCTATTTTGTGTGTTTCTGGGAATTTCCCAATTTCATCTATGTTGTTTAATTTGTTGGCATACCGCCGTTTATAATATTTTTCTATAATCTTTTCTACTTCTGTAATGTCTGTAGCAATGTGCCCACTTTCATCTGATTTTAGTAATTTGAACATTCTCTTACTTTTTCTTCATCAGTATAGCAAAAGTTTGTCAATTTTGTTGATGTTTTCATAAACTCATCTTTTGGTTACATTGATTCTCTCTAATGTTTTTATATTCTTTATTTATCTCTGCTCTAATCTTTATTATTTCCTTTCTTCTGCTAGCTTTGGGTTATCTTGCTCTTCATTTTCTAGTTCCTTCTGATAAAATTGGGTTATTTTATTTTAATACAAGTGTCTACAAATATAAATTTCTCTCTGAACATTGCTTTCTCTGCATCCAATAAGTTATGTAATATTGTGTTTACATTTTCATTAGTCTCAAAATATTTTCTAATTCCACTTATAATTTCTTCATTAATAGTGTTGTTTTATTT